CCCCTTCTCACAAAAGGCCCCTGTCCAGAACTGATAGAGCCATCCAGTAAAAGTAACACTACTTTTAGTTTACGTGATTATTTTTATTGTTGCATAAAATACCAATACTTGATTAACTAATCATTTCGTACTATTCCATGAAATGCAGTATTTTACATGCACGGAGGTAAATATACAGGATGTATGCATATGGTTATTGCACTATTCACATTTTACACTGTACATGGCTTTTATACAATACATTACATAGATTATAAGCCGGTTTTCCACTAGGCGGAATTTTGCGCGCGGAACGGATAAATCTCTATCTTGTGATTAATCGGGTGGAACCAATTAGAGGGGACAAAGAAAAAATTCCGCTCCGCGCGCAAAATTCCATGTATTGCAAAATCGGCTTTGGGACTGTTTGCAAGATTTGTCTTTGCGCAAACAAGATTGGAGGTGTGATTGTTTCAATGGAACGTACTCATTTGTTTAGCAAAAATTGCGTATATATATACCAAGACTACACGAAATCTCCAATCCCGTTTGGACTACACACAGCCGAGAATAGCCCCGGTCCCGCCCCCATTTTAATATTGACTCCAGTTTTTTTAAATAAAGCCAAACGCTGTGCTATAGTTGAGGTTTTCCTCTTGCTACAGGGTTCTTGATAGGTCCAGTTGGTATGAACTTCGGTTGTACCAAGGTGGCTTCTGCAGCAATGTCTTCTTCTGAAACGAACACAACACAAAGGCCCGTATTAATACGATACGACTAGTTGCATACAATTGTCATTCCGGCGTATGAAAAGTTGAAAACGACTGCTGACGCCCCACTGTTCTTGTTCATCAGTTATAGCGAAATCTTTACATACATTTACTCGAGTACATAGGCCAGGATAAGAATCGTGTACGTAACTGGTTGTGCAATTTTCTGTAGTCTAAAGTTTCACGTTGTCTGCACATGTACCTTCTTTGGAAACACCATTTGCCTTCTGACAAATCGGAAAATGATCTAGATAGTGACTTGGATTGATTTGCATATTGTACTGACAGATGACTGTTGACATTGTCTTTTAGTCTTCAATATTTGAGTGAGTCATACATTGGAAATGACAATAAATTTGTATTACCCAACCCTTGAGTTGTTTTGTCTTTCATTTACCCAACCTCACTAAAAGTTTTCTTTACTGACCTGTATCACCACGCTCTACACGACGTCTTTCCCAGATCAAAACACTCGTGTCCATTCCTCCAGTGGTCACCAGCATCTTGTCATCGCTGGTCCATCGAACGTTGGTCACGTGAGAAGAATGACCGGTAAACTGACGGAATTTCGCGCCATTCACCTACGACAGAAAATAATAATTGAAATTATTACAGTTTGATACCATTCTGAAATTCCCAACGAGCATGGAAAACTGCACCCCTCCTTGCAGATGAGGCTAGATCCGATCGCCCCTCGTCTTTTGGCAGAAACGTGTAGTATACTTGAGCCTTCCCTTAAAAACTATGTTTAAAAACAACTTACTGTAACAGGATAGTTAAACAATTTCACGTGACCAAAGTCGTCCCCAGTTGCCAGGACACGCTGATCCTTGCTCCGACATGACGTGTTCACATCAGTGACGTCAGTACCTGGCGGGAAAACTCGTAAGTTCGGCCCCAGGACCCCAGTGACGGTCTCCCACTCGACTCTCATCAAGGCTGTATCATTCATAGTTTTTCTCATCGCTCGAGGAGCTTCGAAGAGAAGATGCTCTCGCGCCCCGGAGTTTGTCAACAGCAACTTGCCTAATGAATGAATCAATGAATGAATAAATGAACGAATGAATTGAAGTATTGATTGACCGATACAATTATCATCAATCAATATAGATAATGAAGTAATGGCAAAGAAAATAATTCAATACAATTGAAGTTGTCAGCTCGTAAATCAGAAACAGGATGTTTCTAGTTCTTTACTTGAAATTTCGATTTGGACTGTGAGACCTCGAAATCTTCATCTACAAAATACACACACATCCCACCTTTGACTTCCCAGTCAACATGAGTGACGTAACTTGAATGTCCTTTACAGACGCCAACACGCTTGCCTCGCTTCACACTGTAGATATCCACGAAATTATCATGCGAGGCCACCGCAAGAAACTTGCCATCTAAGAAAATATAAAAGAAAAAATTAAAAGGCCACATCTATAAGGTTTAAACTTCTCTTCCTAGAGGTCAAGTATGAGTGACACTGTATCTTATCATTCCAATGTTGCCACTTGCCACAGTAGGAAATTTAACCTTTATAACTATATCTGTACAGGATAGCTCTATCAGTTCTAAACTGTTCTCACTATAGAGATCAAGTAGAGTGATCTCCCTTATTGCAACCTTATTGCTCCAGTGTTACTACAGGCGGGAACCTAAACTAAACTAACTTTATTTATACTGGATAGCTCTATCAGTTCTAAACTGTTCTCCCTAGAGGTCTAGTAAGGATCATCTCTTATTGATCCAGTGTTACTACAGGAGGAAACCTAAACTAAACTAACTTTATTTATACTGGATAGCTCTATCAGTTCTAAACTGTTCTCCCTACAGGTCCAGTAAGGATCATCTCTTATTGATCCAGTGTTACTACAGGAGGAAACCTAAACTAAACTAACTTTATTTATACTGAATAGACCTATCCGTTTTAAACTGTTCTCCCTAGGGGTCCGGTAAGGATCATCCTTTTTTCCTCCAGTATTACTACAGGAGGAAACCAAACTAGATCTATCAGTTCTAAACTGTTCTCCCTAAAGGTCCAGTAAGGATCATCTCTTATTGATCCAGTGTTACCACAGGAGGAAAACAGTCCAACAGCAAACGCCCATACCTGGCGAGAACTTCACATCGGATATTTCTTCCTTCCTGTCTTTAAAATTGACGATGGGTGTCAAAGTCTGCGCATCCATAATACTTAGGCTTCCGTCATTATGACCGACAGCCAGGGTGTCGCTACCGGGAGAATACGCAACACATCGCGAGCCTCGCTTTAGTTTCTTCACTTGCTTAAGACGGATATTCTTCAGGTCCCAGACTCTTAGTGTTTTATCATCGCTCACAGTCACGCATTCTTCCTTGTATGGATGTACTGCTAGGCCCCAGACCTCTCCCTCGCCATGACCCTGGAAAGCAAGATGGCAGCATTGAACTATATACATTACTGGACGATATCTAAGTTACTCAAATAGGATAACCATGCGCAAAATTGTCATGTCAGATTACTTGTTGATTGTAATTTGCATTATTTATTTTTTTCCATCGTATAAGTACCTGAACAATAATGGTCATTTTGCCGTCTTCTTCAATTTCAATCACCTACAATATTTTAATACAAAATAATTACTTTCAATTGGTGGTTTAAGCATCTACTTCATATTATATTTTATATAGTAATGTTATGGTTCTCGTAAATCTTTAAAAAACGCCTAAATATTTAAAAAACCTATACATGACCTGTATGCCACCTCGCTGATGAGAGTATGCTAGGATTGGTAAGTGTAAATCCCGGCTATCATACCTCGTCATTCCCAGTACCAATCAGAATTCTCGTCGCATTCGTATGTATGGATCGTATAGGAGGGGTATCGTCAAGCAAGATAGAACCATAGTTCATGACAGTACGCTCGACTCTGAACGCTTTCAAACAATGTTCAAAAAACGTATCCCACACAACAACCACTCCATCCTTACCACCAGTCACAAAACCCTGGAAAAACAAAACATTCGGTTTAGATGAAAGCTCTGTTAGGATTGCCTTAACTACGTTTTGTTAGGACAATCCTTTGTTGATCCAGTGTTGCTACAGGAAGAAACCTAAACTAAACTAACTTTTTTATGCTGGATAGCTCTATCAGTTCTAAAGTAAGGATCGTCACTTATTGATCCAGTGTTACTACAGGTGGAAACCTACACTAAACTATTTATACTGGATAGTGGATAACATTATCAGTTCCAAACTCTGTTCTCTGGACAGAGAAACATCCGCTATACTTCAGGATGCTGAGAAACATCCGCTACACTTCAGGACGATGAGAAACACTCGGGACGATGAGAAGCATCCGCTATACTTCAGGACGATGAGAAACATCCGTTATACTTCAGGAAGAAACCGGAATACAGTGTTCAATAGAGTCAAAATGGAAGTGTTCTTTCTGCATTTTACTAGCCTGCGTAGCGGCGCTGGGGTGAGGGAGAGGGGAGGGAGAACATGCAACACCTGACCTCTTTAGCAGTGTTCCTCAAGGCGTACATAGCATAAACAGCTCCTTTATGTCCTTTGATAGTACGTCGTAAAGTAGTACCCTGCCAGACATAGATCTCTCCGTTATCAGCGCCGGCAAAACACAGGTCATCATGAGGACTGTGACAGACACATAACATAGAGGAAACTTGACCAGCTTTACCATAGGTCACCGGTCGCTTCTCTATCTTGGAGCCTGAAATGAAGAAATATTATATCCTCAATTTCCTATTGGTACATGCATGTGAATAGAATAGGTTTACTAAATTTTTAACTAACAATGCCTACCCCTGTGTCGCGTTTTTGTATTCTGAATCTTTCTGGCATATATACAATCATTCACGTTCACATACGCGCAGGGCCGCCGAGAGGTTACGCGGGGCCCGGGGTAAAGTTTTCCCAGGGGACCCCTATGAGGTCATAAAAAATGAAGAAGCGGTGTTTTACAATACAGCGGAACCCCGCCTTACGGCCACCCCGTTAATACGGTCACCTCGATAATACGGTCACTTTTTTTTGTCCCGGCGAAACACTAATACATTTTATAATAAAGTTACCCGGTTAATACGGCCACCCCGTTAATACGGCCATATTATTTCGGCCCATTGGTGACTGTATTAACGGGGTTCCACTGTATTTACATATTACACTTTATTGCATATTATTCAGAACTAACGCAGCTAGGATTCATTTTCTCAGTTAAGCAATCTCAATCAAGAAATTTTAACGGCCAGTTTGTTGCTTTGAGGGCCTCTTTTGAGCACAATGACCAAACTATCCCTTACCATTATGCGTCCAAAACTTGATGTGCTTCTCTCCGACAGTGACAAAGTAGTTGTTATTAAAAGGGTTCCACTCCAGGACATAAATTTTATCTTTATGTCCTCGCGTCGTCGCCAATTTCTCAGCTTTCTTCCAGTCCCAGATGCAGATACAATGGTCGTCATCTAGACCTATGTCTGCAAGTTTCTTGCCATCCCCTAAATGGTGAAGAAATGTCATTGGATGATGGTGGAAGAACTACAATAACAAAGTTTAGATTTTATTTCAAGCTCCCTTCTTGTCCCCAGGCTACTGGTTTTTGTCTGCTTGGTGGTCCCTAGACCCCCATGTCTACCCCCATTCAACAACTGGCTACCTCAACAAAAATAAAATCTACAGGCATGATCTGTTGCGAGCTATAATGGTTGATTCCAGCTATACAGTAGACTAAATTTTGATCAAGGCAAGAAGAACGAAATCCAACACCACAGCTAGAAAGAACATCCTAGAATGAGTCAAACTGCAAAGATTGGTTGCTAAATGTTGTAAAGTGAATATAGATCTGTGAAGTTCACAAATTTTGTATATATTTGTATTATGCACGCTAAAAATAACCACTTTCGACTCAAAAATGGTTATTTTTCCCGCACGTAATGCAAATATATACAAAATTCACGAACTTCACAGGGCTATATTTTCATCATTTTACAACAATTCGCAACCAGACTTTGCAATTTTACTCATTTTAAGATGCTCCTTCCAGTTACAGTAAAGTAATGGATTTCATTCTTGTCTAGATCAAAATTTCGCCTATAGCTGGAATCATCCATTTCTCTGTGGAAGTTAGTCAATTAGTCCAACCAAACCATCCACCTCTAATACAGTGGACCCGTTAATACGGCCAAGGACGGGCCGAAAAAATTTGGCCAGGGTGGCCATTACTGTATTAGAAAATTGTATTGTCTTGGCATTTTTCTGAGATAAGAATGGCCATAATAAAGAGGTGACCATAATAACGGGCTGGCCGCAACAGACCACAATAATGGTAAGAAAATATTCTATGCAAGACCTGTGTACCTGAAAAATCAACACATATAATTCCTCTTGTGTGAAAACCTTTCAATACTGAAACTGTACTCATTGTCTTGGTGTCCCAGACGTGTGTTTCTGGAGTCTTGCCAACCTAGATTTAGAGCAAGAAAATATTTATTATATGCTGTGGGTGGAACAGGGCAGGTCTACAAAATATATTCTCTTGGACCTGGCAGCAAAATTAAACTAGGGATCCAAGGATAGTGCAGAGTTTCAAAGACAAACGCTATAAGGCATGCTTATTAATTGAATAGCTTTTCAAGCGTGGTTTATAGCCTTAATCACATGTCGTAATAGCGCGGGGAACTGTTACAACAGTAAAAATGCTAAGATCTGGTTTAAATATAATACTTTACGGTTGAAGAATAACGAGAGTTATGTAATATTATTTATTTCCCCATATAATATTATAGTGACAAGGCATAATTTCTGTTATGTTGTAAAGTTTGAAATTGAAAGACACTGCAAGGATTATATAGGATCGCCGACAACCTAGAAAAGCTGATGGGTTACACTACGAAATAAACAATTATCATAGGCATTTCATCTCATTATCTATTGTTTTTAATGCGTTCGGCACACGAGTAACCCGACGTTTAAAACAAGCCTAACACATCAGAAACGTCGTGCTTCGTGGAACTGACACAATTTATTGGAGCTGTCGCCAAGTATCCCCACAA